GAAAAGAAAAAAAGTATGGTTCACTGACATTGCAATAGCTGGAGATGCACGAATTGAAGATAAACAGCAAGAAAAAAATCACAAAATACCAGGACTTGCAAATTGAGGTTGTGCGACTGTGGAAAAAGAAATCATATGTTGTCCCAATTGTAATTGGAGCCCTTGGAGCTACCTCGCTATTTGGAAATTTTAAATTTACCTGACTTCTGATTCTACAAAAAACCACCCTACTTGGAACAGCTTATGTCCTCCTACGTTACCTTAACAGTTCCTAGGTCCTTGGTTAGGACTCGAGCTGTTGAGCTACCAACCAGCCCCAAAGTGTGAATCTCACCAAAGATTAACCACATAATAATAAGTTGTTGTGAACCTAGTTACCGTTAATTTTTTTTCAATGGACTACTTGCTTAGATAAAAATACGTTTATTTGTATGCTGCTCTTACCGATCTCCCTAAATTAAAATATGTTCAGTGTTACTTCACTCGGAGGACTCTGTTAAGGGGAGAGCATAGATCCTTCCGCCTTTTTCCTTGATATGTTAAGAGGGAAAAAAGACAGATCTTGGCAAGCCAAGGAAAAGATAATCGATTAAAACTTTTGCTTAAAAAGAAACACATAGCGGGAGGCAGATCTTAAGTTTTATTACATCCTTCCCTCCTCGTCCAAATCTCCAACACAGGAGGTTTTTAAGACAGCCATTTGTCCGGAATGGTATCGGGTCTTCTGCTTGGCAAGGGGTTGGATTATAAAACCCCGAAGTTGCCTTTTAACTCCGTTATTTTATTTTTCGTTTTGCAAAGAGTTATGAAACGGAGGTTGGGGGAACCGCGGCGGCGGCCAGGAAAAAATAGCATTTTCGGGAAAGGGGCGCCTTATTCTCTGCCCCCCCCCCCATGCATTTGAGCGCGGGGCAAGTGGTGGGGCAGCCCGGGGGGGGGGGCTCTCGGTCAAGAGACCAATCAAAAAAGGCATTGACAAATGCCCTCCTGCCAAGGGAAGGAAAGGCGTGCGGCTTTTTTTTCCCCGGTCACGGCGGCTCCCGACAGAGAAGGCCGGAAATTGCCCTGTCGGGAGCTCAAGCGCGTGGTACCCGTTGCTTTTGACCACGGCTTGCTGGCTGGCTTGCTTGCTTGCTTAAGATCGTGTTTCACTTTCGGGCAAGTAAGTAAGCTTTCGCTTTCCAACGCAAATAATAGTGAGGTTGTGTAGCAGAACAGCGTCCTGTTTGCAGGAATCCCTCCTCTTGCGGTACATTGCCTGGCCTTTCGGCAGAGGACAAAAAAAACGCCAGGTTCTCCCCCCACCCCTCCTCTCCGCTCTTGGGCTGGGGAAGGGCTGGTCCTGGGATCCTCCTTCCTCCGCCTGCGACCCGGGTGGTTTTCTTTGGCTCGGCTTCCCTCGCGTGTATGCCGCCCCCGGGGGGGAAGTATGGTAGAAATTCTCCCCCTCCCCCTCTGCTCGTAGAGTGAGAGCAGAGCCATTGCATGCCAGAAATAATCGCTTTTAATTGGACACCTGATGACCCAGCTTGGGAAACAGGTGAGAAAATACAGTAATGGGTAAAGCGAACCGTCTCAGGGTTAATTAAGGAGAGAGCAAAGTCCCTCGCGGCTTTCTGGAAAAAAATAATAATAACCAGACCGATGACTGAAATGAAGGCCCTCGTCAGGGGCATTTTCTTTGCTTCATTTGTTAGATTGCTTTCTTGGCTTTCCTGCAGGAGCTCAAAAGTAGTTCCAGTTTTGCCTCCAAAACACACTATCTTCTAACCCCTAAGTTGCACTGAGAGGCCAGTCTAAAATCACACAATGGCTCTCCAAGGCTAAGAATCAAGTTGATTTGAGTTTTTCCCAAGTCTGGTTCACCCTTTCAGCATTAAACTACACCTGCTCTTTGGAAGGAAGGTCGGTGGGTCACTTGCGGGATTCATGCATAGTTACCCCTAGTCAAGCATGTTTTATATAGTCAGGTTTATATGTTTGCAAGACAACTCAGAACCAAAATCTAATTTCACTGGTTATGTTCACAGAACAGAATTGGTGAAACGCAGTTGGCTCATTTCTGGTCCAATCTGGTCATTTTCTCATAGATTTTGCTACTTGCTTCAAAAAGCTGAAGATAAGGTTATCAACTGCAGAACTATTCCTAATTCAATAGGGAAAGGAGGTTAAAAGCAGTCAGAAACTTGGGAGGAGGGGACTGCGTCCTCTTCAGAATCAAAATATTGCAGAAAGAAAAATTAGAACACAATCACACTTGGTTTTAGGAGAGACCACCTCAGCAAGTAGAGGGGTATTGAGGTTAAGGGGAATTGCAGAAGAGTAGAAATTTCTGAAAAACAAGATATTCTAAACCATTCTCCACTTCTTTTGAGTGAAGAATTGTACACTCCAGTCACAAGAAAAAAAATGGGACAGCTTAAGAAACCATTGTAGACCAAAGGAAATTTCAGCTGAGCTAGAGTTTTAAGGAAGGAAACATCTATAGGGAATAATGAGCATTATCCTCAGGGAAGCACACAAGCAAGTAGCTGGTATCACCAGAAAGAAAGTTAGGCTGATGCTGAAAAGGAGTTTAGTCTCAACTAGTGAAGAACAGCAATTGGGGTTTGCGACCATGTCAGCTGAAAAGTAGAACCAAAGGAGTGCACTTCCTGTTCATTGAAGAGGGGATAGTAGCAAGTGGTAAGAGGAGGGTCAATTTGTAAGTAGGGTCAATTTGTATAGACTGAATTCCAGAAGACTAAAAAGCCTAGGAACAAAGAAGTGGTTGTAAGAAGGCTATTTCTTTTCTTTTCCATTCCACCCAGTGTATTTCAGTTCTTCTAGTTTACCATCTATATTCATAAATGAGCAAATCTAGAGCAAATCTAATTTAGAGGAGCAAATCCAATTTAGAGGAGCAAATCCTCTAATATATCTGGCATGCCCTGATAAACCTGCTCCTCTTGCAATTCAGTTGATAGGTCTTTAAATTGAATAATTAAAGCTAATTAATTTCAGTCTTTACCTTTCATATAGAGTTGAAAGACTGCTATATGTGACTGCCTACTATGTTTACCTTGACTACAATTTGTTAATTTCTTGATTAGCTCTAGCTTTCTGGCATGCTTTTAAAAGCATCCTTGAGCATCTGCATAAAATTGGCATAGCTGTCCATCACAGGATTATTATTGTCTACCAGAGTAATTGTCCATTTGACAGCTTATAAATCAAGAGTCCAAGGATAATGTGGAATGCGTGGAAATTTCAGTTATCCTCACTTAAATGTGTAGTCTACACACTAAAGGATAAAAATAACAAATTTATTTGGGGATCCTCCATATTTGTTTGGTAACAATCTCTCGTAACAAGAAACATGTTGGATGGGAAAGAATAGCCATAGCTAGTTTCAAACTTTGACCCAGTTGCTGACATTAGCCAATTATTGATCTGTACACCAATAATTTAGTGCTGCAGTTCAGTGTTGAACTGTTGCATTGATGACTTGTTCAGCAGTCAGTGATCTTCCCAGAGGGCTTTAGTCAAGCCACTGCCATGGCTTCAGTCAAGCACATGATAAAACATGGCCTTATAAGCGTTGTTGATATGAGTGTTAGACTCATGGCAGTAAGTTTATCAAAAGCATTGTTCTCTTTTAATCATCTTTTAACAGGATTTATTACAGGGGAAAGAAATTTTATTACAGAAAATGTCTACAACTAGATTGCTTTCTTTTTAAGAAGCCAGTTTATTTTTTGCGTTTATTAGGACATCAGTTCCTTTCCAATGTCCCAATGTTGAACCAATGGGCTGGTTGTGTGTTTTTCACGCAATTGAGGAATGTGCAGGTATCTACAAATGTTTTCCCACCTGGTCTGCCCACTCCCCGAATACTGCTCACCTGTGAATACACCATTACAAAAACTATGATTCGGTTTATTAGGCAACTGATTTGTGACTACAGGTAGTCATCAACTTATGACCATAATTGAGCCCAAAATTTATGCTGGCAACTGAGAAGTTTGTTAAGTAAGTTTTGCCTTTTACTTTTCTTGTCACCTCTGTTACACTGCAGCTGTTAAATTAGTAACACAGTGGTTTAGTGAATCTGGTTGCCTCATTGACTTTGTTTGTCAGAAGGTCACAACTGTCATAAATGTGAGCCAGTTGTCAAGCATCCGAATGTAAATCACTTGGCCGTGGGGATGTTACAATGGTTGTAAGTGTGAAAAAATGGTCATAAGTCACTTTTGTTCAGTGATGTTGTGACTTCAAAAGGTCACTAAATGAACTGTTGGAAGTCAAGGACTACCTGTATTTAGAAAGGAATATGCTACATGGCAGGAGCCATCATTGCATTGCCAGAAGCAGGTAATTGTCAAACTGAACTTATTTTCTTTTTTTGAAAGAGCTGAGAGTTTAATTGGCTGTGAGAATGTAATGGACATAATGTACCTAACTTTCAGCAAAATATATGACAGTGTTTCTTAACATTTATAGAGAAGATAACAAAATGTGGGCTGGACTGTGTTCCCATTAATTGGATACAGTGGTGGTTGAACACTTGCGGCCACAAGCTGGAAGGCGGTAATGAGCAGCATACTGCAAGAATCCATTCTAGGCCATCTTCTGTTTGGGTGAATGGTTAGAAAAAATTATGAGATTTGTAAATTTGGGAGTAAATGAAGGAACAGTACACCCACGTTACGCCTGTCCTCCGCGAGCTGCACTGGCTACCAATTGGTCTCCGGATGCAATTCAATGTGTTGGTTATTACCTTTAAAGCCCTACATGGCTCAGGGCCAGCGTACCTGCGAGACCGGCTTCTGCTACATACCTCCCAGCGGCTGGTGAGATCACACAGATTGGGCCTCCTTCAGATGCCGTCAGCCANTCATAGTCACCAAGCCAGAATGGTAGTCGCGAGGAGACCAAGCCCCCTCTGCAGCTAGGCCATGGCGTCCTCTAAAGCTGAGCCACAGCGTTTTTAAAACGGCCTCAGCAAACCAGAGGCACAGCGGCAGTTCGGCAGACAAAGCAGCAGTAGGGGTGGGGGGCAAGGCTCTCTCAGCCAGCAGTTAGAGAAGGGTCGAAGCTCTCTCAGGCCAGCTGGATCGTAAAAAGAACTGGATCGTAAAAACTCCCAAACGGTGTCACCAAACGTCTCCGACCAAGCTGGGTCGCGGCGCCTTCCAAACGGCACCTGGGCGGTTTATATTTGGTTTGGTTTATATTCATTGTTCCATCTTTCGTCTCTTTTTTGGCATTATAAAAATATGTGGGACAAATTTGAAACATGCAAGTGTGTTACAAGAAAATATGGCTTGAACTGCCAGGGAAACTATAGGCAGAGATGGTGGATTTTGGAAGTAAGAAGATGAACTGGGAATACTTTAGAGGTAAACAGAAGAAATCTAGGACAGGAGAAATGGGAAGCGAAGAGAAGGAAGGGAAGCCAAAGGATTATGTCTGCTCAGATCCAGGGCAACATTCAAATGTCATACTATTTAAAGCTCAGCTCTTGTGTACAAAGTTTTGTCTGTGAATTAAGATCGCTATTGATGTTCTTGTAGGATTAATTGTACTATAAACGTTGACATGAAAAAGAAGAGCACAGGTCATTAGAAATCAAGACATGGCAATGATGCAAGTTTTTAATTAATGCTATCTCACAGCAAGTGATTTCCCAGAGGAGTTAAGGCGGTGTGTAGTGAATGGTAACTCCTACTATGCAGGCATCCTACCTTAGACAAACACAACGGTGTGGATGCCTGAATTATTGCATAAAAGCTGTCTGGAAGACCAAGCAGAGCAATTAAATCTTTTTCCCTGTATGAACCCTTTACTACAGGTCAAACAAATCTAATTTTTATTGTTCCTTGAGGAGATGATGTCTATGCGGAAGACAAAGAAGGGATATAGCAAAGAACTTTAATGAAAAAAATGTTCACAAAAATGCCACAGCAACTAAGATAAATTGTTTTGTAGCAGGAGTTCACAAGTAATTGATGACTTATGTGGTAATGCTTTGGTAGCCAGGCTGATCTGTGATAGATTACAACTGAACTGGAGGAACCTTTCAAGGAGAGAAACAAAGTTAATGTTTAATCTGAATAAAGAAAAAAAGATTTCAAGAGATATATGGCAACTTGCCGCTGCCTATTATGTGACTGCGTTCCGCAAAATAAATATAAAACAATAATATAAGCAATTGTCCGAAAACATTTTGATAGGATTGGCATAGATCAGAGGGGAACAGCATAGCCAGCTAGGCACATACACATTCACAGTATGGAAATACTTTTCAAAGCTCCTAGAATTATATGTCTCAATTCTGATTGTAAATGGTATTTTGTGCTGCAATAGTTAATAAGAAACATCATATTTATAGACTCTCCCCATTCTTCAACATGTCAGGTCTCTGGCCTTCAAAAGCTACAGCTGCTAGTGAAGCAATATGATTAACTGAACCTTTTAGGACAGATTTATGCAAATAAATTTTCCTCCAGTAAGTGTCACATGGGGTCTAACTTAGTAAGGGAAAATATTTCAAAGATG